GGTTAGGAAAGATCAAACACCTCACTTATATATAGAAGTAGGTGTTAATTTGACAAAATAATTCATACCCAAGACATTAGGAGTTAGGCAAAATAAGATTCTTACATAAACCTAGGATATTTCTAGACATGAAAATGTGTGACATTCACAGCTTTCAAATGACAGTAAGTTGTCTTCACCCAACCTCACCACCATCACCACCTTCAGTTTCTTAGAGTGAGAAAGGAAAATATTATACAATGAAAGCGTATTTGAGACCTTATATGTGACTGTCTGGAGAAAGGCAATCCTTCAGATCCTCAAATTTCTTATTTTAAAATAATTATTGGATCTCTTAAAAAAAAATCTTACCTGCAATTCTTGTTCTCTGAAGGAAACGCAGGAATTATAAACATACCCACACTCCTGAGTACATTCTCCTAAGAGTGAATGGATTTGGAATGCTCCATAGCTTAAGCTCTGAACTGCTGCACTGCCACACCACACTGGCAGTTGGGATCTACCTGCCTGGCTGGTAATGATGCAGACCTGCCACCTCGAGTCATTTCCTTCATAAATGTAAGTGTTCCCCTGACAGGGAGTGGAGAGCTGGTTTAATTACTGTCCTTGGAGAACATGAATGGTTCCTTCTATAGAGCATAAGGGGGGTAAATCTACACTACTAAGGAGGTTGTTATAGGCTTCAAAATGTACTACAATTAATACTCTAAAATGTTAAAGAATAAAAACAGCGAACTGTTCCTCTGTCAAAAACGCCCTTAGGGGAAATGAAAGAACTGACTGGACTGTTAACTGGGTCAGGACCCAACTGTCAACACCAGAACAAAGAATTACAAGTCCATCTTAAATACCTGTAAAGTAGGCCTCATCCTGGCATTCAGCAACCTAATATTTTGTATTTTGCTTGACAACGTGAGAGTTATATGGCAACTTCAGTGGAAACCAGTGGTAGGGAAACACCTTGAAAACTGCTGAGATTACCACTGAAGGTGAACTGGTTTTCTTAGGATGTGATACTAGCAATGTGCTGTTAGAGAATTTATATTTCATAAACTCAAGTAACTAATTACTGAATTCATAAAATTTCATGAACTTTTTAGCTTAATGTAATAAATTAGATTTAAAATGTTTAAATATTTAAGGATTGAGTTCCTGCCACATAAGCCCCTCTTCTGTCTTAAAAATCCCACATAATTAGGAAGAAATGAGGTAGGCATAGTTTCTTGTTTACATGATGATTTTTAGAGGGTTATCCAAATCTTTCATAGATTTTCTGTTTTCTAATCCTACAAGTTTGTAGGCAGCCTGACCACATCTTCTCAAGTTAAACCAGAATCAGGTTGCCACATAAAATAAAGTTAAATCTGAGTTTAGGATCAACAATTTTTTTAAAATAAGTATGTCCCAAATATAGCATGAGATATAATTATACTATATGTTCTTTTATCTGGCCTTTGTATTAAACTGAGTCTGCTGCTTTGTTTTTTTGTTTTTTTTTTTTTTCTACTCAACTTGGAAACCAGAGGAGCTCACAGGGTTATCTAATGGACTTTGGCATGAATTGAAGCTAAAATGGAAATATCGACCTTAGTCTAGTACACTTGTACTGTGGAATACAGTAGCTTCTAGCCACACGTGACTATTGAGCACTTGAACTGTGGCTAGTCCAATACAAAATATGCAGAGTGTAAAATATACACCAGAATGCTTAGGATGAAAAAGTAAAATGTCTCATAAATTTCTACACTCATAAATTTTATATTTTATGTTAAAATATTTTGGACATACTGGGTTAAATAAAATTACAACTAATATTGGCTGCTTCTTTTTCGTTTCTTAATATGACTACTAGAAAACTTAAAATTACATACAAACTAGCACTATCATGTATAGTGTATGTAAGTAGCTACATAACCTAGTGCTAAATTAGCGCTATCAAGTTAAAAAAATACCTTAGCCATGTTTGGCTCTCCTACAAGGAGAGGGTGAGGATAGAGTTTCCTTGCTGTCTCAGCTCTAAAAAATCAATACTAATAACCTCTTTTCTCCCTCCAGCTATCAGAGTAGGTAGGGAGCATGCTCATCTCAAGGAAAGTAAATTTCTAGTAAGGATTAGCATGGACTGGCAATAAGCAATAAAAACAAAAACAAAACACAGCATATACACATACTAGTTAGATCAGAAACCTGATCTTTGACAAATCATTCTCACATAATTTTAAAAAGGAAATAAATACTAATATGTATATGTGTGCATGTATATATAAAAATGAAACTCTCTCCAAGATCCTAGCTTTGATGGAAGAATTCTTTAATACAACTATGTTGGGTTTTCACTCCTACATATATCAGAATCATATAACCGCAGTTTATTTTGCTGTCTAACATGAATTGAGTCGGTACAGTTATTAATAAGAACCTTGGGGATAAGATCTTATTTTTGATACTCTAGACACAGAAGGCAAAATCTTGGTCTCCATTCTATTTACATGCTAAATTAGAACACTAGTTCTAGAACAGTGATATAAACTTTTCTTTTTCTGAAATATGTTTCTAAAACATGTACTACCAGAAGATAAATTTTGTTTTTAAAAAGATACACGCTGGGGACACTTTTTAGATTAAAATTTTCAGTTACGTTAACTACTGCGTATCAGCCCCTACTTAGGTTTGAACTTCGTGGCAGTTCTGTGTGGTGGGACCACTTAATGATTTCCCTATCTCCCGCCCTTACTGAATCCACAGTGATGTTCTATCCATAACTGCTCTTCTTTACTGTGCATTATTTCATTCTACGACTTCCAACAATGACAGATCAAAAACCCTGGAGGAAGCTGTGTCTGGAGGTAACTGGGAGGGGAAGAAGCCATAGTTTCTCAAGCCCTCCCCACTAAATTCTCTGAGACTGGCTCTTAGGTCAGCTGCACTGAGCAACTTTTATCTTTGTAAGAGTGGAAAAACTCCTTTATTTCTTCACTTGCTCACATTCAGTTCTGTTATCCTTGGAGTCGCAAGAGGGCTCAATTTTATATGAATCTTCTTGCACGCCTAGCAGTGTCTATATTGTGTACAGTCACGAGTAACAAATATTTGCAGTTATGTTTTGTTTCGCTAAAATTGCTCTGAAGGCAGCAAAGGGAAATCAGAAAGTCTCAGCCCAAGTCCTTTCCTGTCACCTATCAGCTGGGATCAATGACAGATCTGTTCTCCCAAACTCTTTCTCTATTTGAAAAAAATATATAATCCCTGCTATAATGTGTTTTTCTAGGGGGTTTAAGGTGAAAAGTCATGTATATTTGCTGAGTCAATTACTTGATATATATTTGCTCATGAAATCATTGTAACCTGGTTCTTTGTACATTCTCAATGAATCCCCAACAATAAAAAATAAAAAATAAACTTTTTTTTCAGTTATGATAAACTTTTTGGTCAAGTAAGAAATAATAACCTGTCCAGTTATCTTTATATCAACCTTATAATTTTAGTAGGTTTGAATTTTAAAGTTTTTTCTCAAATTACCCAAAGAGTTAACACATGAATGCTACGATACTTAACATGTTCTCACAAATAAGAATTCAGGAAATTATACACATAGAGTTTATTCATAAATGCTCAATAATCCATATTTCTTCTCTAATATAAGCTATTATTGTATCTATTTTGAAGATTTAAATCTTTTAAAGTTACTTGAAGTTATAATGAGACTAGTCTAACTCGTCAATTTACATACAAAAAAAGTAAATTGGTTCTCACAGTTTTTTAAAAGGTTTGTTGTATTTTTTTTCTCATTTTAGGATTATTTTCTCCTTAATATCTTTTATTATAAAAACACAGGAAGAACAACGGCTTTGAAAAGGCAAAAAAATAAAAAATTATGTATCAGAGGTAGGGCTGGCAGATAAAAATCAACAAATTTCTCCCAAATTTAAGAGCCCTTTAGACATTCACATGTTGTAGAGAATTAAAGTTTCCAAGATCACTTTAAGAGTTTTAAGAAAAGACAAATAAAATGAAATGGAACAATTCAGTTCCTCATCAGCACTTTAAGTTCTGATTGCCATGTTTTGGTGCACGTCTAGTCCTCTGATAGGAGCCAGTTTTTCTCATCTACTACTGCCCTGCTTTTAATATTAATTATATTTTCAGAATCAGTATGCCTCTGTTCTTCTCCATATTAATGAATGATATGCAAAATGACATTTCAAGAATGGTCATTTTGAGAAGTGTAAATAAACTGCTATACTATAAACTACAATAAACTATTGTTTACAAGTAAACAATAAGGTTTTCTGCTGTTATGAGTTTGGAAGTCAAACAGAGACATTATTTATCCTCCATAGGCTTCTCTACTGGAATCAATAAATTTATTCTTCATCTCCTGAAGACATGACAAAAGTTGTAAAATTGGAAACCCTCGTTTTAAGTGATTTTTTTTCCAATTAGGATCTGACATAAGAAATTTTATGATCATGTAAGTGTATCTTTTAAAGATTAAGATGGTCTTTGCTTCCATACCTTCTGAAGCTTACTACAAATTACACAATGATTTGAGGGACTTTCCCTCAAGTAAAGGCACAGCTTCAAAAAGATCATGAGAAGTAGTTCTTCCAAGCTATATTGATTTAAACTATTATGCCACCAGATTGCCTAAGTACTGTCATTGTTTCAAAATTACTAAATACAAATCTCAAGATATCTAAGAAAAGTTCTCCGTGGGAGATTAAACCCAAAAGTTATTGACTGAGATGTAAACTGAACTGGAAAACAAGTTTGACCATATTTGGTATTTTTAAAAAAACTAAAATAAAACAGAAACATCTAAACGGTCCTAAGACATGCTTTACTCCTAAACAATAAAAACCACTTCTTGATGGATGTGTGTGATGGCTGCCTGGGCCATATTCTGTCTGATGATCTCAAACTCTCAATGGAGCATTCCGAATCCAGTCCTGGGTTAGGAGCCTGGGCCCATGAGTGCGCACTTACTACACAGTGCTTACCTTTAGAGAACAAGGTGGTGACACAAACTGACCAAGTTCTCAGACCCCATACCTCCAAGAACACTGAAAAAGATCTGCAGATCTTTCTTGGTGCAGGAGGGATCTCTTTCTAATCTTCTTGTGGTGGAAGTTTAAGATTTTCCTGAAGGAGGAAAGAAAAGTAAAAGATTATACGAAGATCATACCATTTGGATCAGGTTTATCTTTCCATATTAATTAATGAAGTTCTGAAAAAAGAAATCAGATAAAAACATGAGTATTTTAAAAATCATGTTATTTCAAAAAAATCACCTTATTTCAAAAAATTATCATGCCTAAATATTGCATGCTTCAAATGTTACTCTTCAAACTCAAAACCTTAAGTGACTAGTCCTACTCTACCACTGGGAAGGTGGGAAGTTGAGAAAAATAAGGAAAAATTCTAGTTGCCAAATGATCACAGCTGTAAAGTCCATTAAAAAATTAATGAGTACAGCAAAACTCATTGAAAAGCAACTGAGTTAAAGAGAGCTAGCAAAAATTTTGTCCTCTTTCCATATTTTCAAAATAATGACATGGGCATCTCCCCATAACTAACAGCGAGGTTGCCCTTTGAGTTGTGGTAAATGCCACAGAATCATGTGTAAATCAGTCTATTAAAATATAAAGCTCTATGAGGAAAAGAATTTTAGCCGTGTTGTTTTTTAACACATTGATTATTTGTAGTGACTTAAATATTAATAGGTCCTGGCACATAGTAAGCACTTAAAAAGTATGATAAATAGGAAGAATATTAACCCATTAGTAAATATTTTCAAGGTTGAAATTTGTATAAAATGAAACCATTAGAAACCTAAAAAGGTTCTAAGGAGTTTGAAAATATGTTACATAAAATAATATTAACAATATAAACATTTAATAACATTAAATAACTGTTAAGAATATTCAAAAATAAAAAAAAGTAAGATTAAAAAAAAGAATATTCAAAAATTACAGTATATTAAAATATTTATGAGAAAATGCTGTCATTACATTATTATAATCCAAACTTCTGAAAAATAATGAAATGCTTCAGATCAGGAAACCATACAGTCTACTTTTAAATATATTGCTAAATATCAAGTATAAAATTAATAATGAAGATGACAAGTAACATGTCTTCTAATACTTTATTATTAATGGTTTTTCATATTTTGGAGAATAATCAATATAAGCCAGTGGATAAAATGGTTGTCTACATCTATCATTTTGCCTAAGTAAATAATTACCATTATACTAAACTGAAATCAGAAAATATCATTCTACCTGTATGATTTTCTTAAATATTTTAAGTAAATATATCAATTTTGTTTGATTTTTAAAAACACAGTATTAAAAAAAGGAATGTTAAATATTATTTGTTTTCCTTTAATGTGTAGACTATTATTAAAACAGATACATACTTCCTTTAACGTACTTTCCTTTTCTAACTCTTTTCAATTGACAAATAAGAAATATGAGAGAAAGAATACTGAAGTCAATATCAGATTAATGGTACTGATAAAGGACTAGATGTGTACTTTTTAAAAAATCTAATACACGAGGCCACTAAAATCAGATGAGGCAACTATTTATAAAGTACTTGATTCCATCTGATCTCAAATACTGAACGTGGAATTAGTCCTCAAAGCAAACTAGTCCACATGTATGGTGCATTTCCTTCTAGGATATGGGCTCTCATTTACTGTACAGACAAAACCACAGTAAGAAAACAGGTTGTAAATTGGGGACTCATGCTTACCCTGTATCACTAAAATAATGCTTAAACTGAAAGATTATGTTTTGATTATAAGCAGTAAAAAGTTTTCCCTATTTCACAAATAATTTAATATCTTGTATCAGGGAATCTGGCATAAATGTGAAAAAAGGAAGGTATTTTAGGCTGAAGAATGTAAGTGTATGCAAAAGCTCACTTAATTTAAAAGTTTTCCTATTTTTGACATCTTGCAAGCCTTTGAATTAACTTTGGGTAGAAGGAATGAAAATAGTTACAAAGAACTAAATGCAATAATATGTCAAAAAGAACTTAAGATGTATAAAGGCCTATTTTACTGAAATGAAAAGACTATGCTACTGAAAAGAATCTCCCAGGCCAAGGAGTGTAAAAACAGAGGAAATGACTAGAAATACTCTGATGTCCTTGTTCATATTGTGAATAATGGATACTTTGCCTCATTTCTGCCTGCAGGAGGGATGAAATCTAAGTTTACTACACTCGGAAGTTTAATGTTAAATTTTTAATTTCACCTGCAAGTATATTAACCATACTCACAACTCATTGTAAGTCCTTTACAAACTGTCCTGAGCATCTATTTCCTCTCTTGCATCTTGACTAGTGACTGTTTCTCATACTATCTGCAGTAAGGCTGTTCAGTTCCCACTGTGGATCCCTGCTCCTGGGCTACTGCTCAGCGCTGTACTCAGCTCACACTACAGAAAACTCTCCAGGCAGCTTCATTCACAAGACTGGTCTACTCTTCAACCAGACGAGACAGGTGATGTGCTTGGATGACACAGAACTAACACACTGCTTTAAGAGTTTCTAAACTAGTACAGAAATTGAGTAGTAAGCATTTAGTCATGGACTGGTTCACAAACCAGTGCCAGTTTGCAGCCCACACTTTAAGCGGCACAGATCTATGTTACAAGTGTAGGATTTTATAATACTCTTCCTTTGCACTTTCTGTTAAATCCAATTTCCAGTTTTAATTCACTCATGCCTTCAGAACCTATTGGCTAATAAATCATCAATGACTTGTTCCAGTATATTCATTTTGCCACCTATTCCTACAGCACCACATAGGAGAACTTCCTGCAAGGGCAAAAATGTTTTGGATCCATCCCATTCCAAACAGTAAACCTGACCCACATGTGGCTATTATGCATTTGAAATGCAGCTAGTACAACCTGAGATTCTGAGCTTTTAATTTTACTTAATTTAAATTTAAAATTCCAAATCAGGCTGGTGGCTACCATGCCCCACAGCACAGTGCTTAAGTGCGGCATTGTCACCTGACCTTCTAAAAATTTAGCATTAAAAAAATCATCTCTTTCCTTCTATCCAAATACAAATATTTTAACTGTGAATATCATTTTTCACATGTATGCCTAGGTATTCACACACTTGTAATCGTGCATACAAACTTACTACTTTATTTTCACTTAATAACAAACATTTCTCCGTATTTCTACAACTACTTTGTCTAATACTGTGTCCACGAGCCCCATGTATATATTTAAGTAACATTATCTAAAATTTAAAAATCAGTTCCTTAGTTGTTGTGCTAGCCATATTTCAAATGTGCTGCAGTCATATGTGGCTAATGGCAACCTTAGTAGACAGTGCAAATCATTTCCATCAACCCAGAACGTTCTCTTAGATAGTGCTATTCTAGAGCTTCAAAAATAATCATTTAAATATTTCAAATTATTATTCTATAATTAGTTTCTAAATTGGGAATTTATATTTAGATGATTTATCATTAGCACAATATTTTCTAATACATTCTTATGAAACTTCTGAACATTACTGTGATTCTTAAGATGTATGAGGTCCGACAACTACATTCATGAACTTGGCACCATGCACTTACATTGACAGCACTGTACAAACAACTTCGTAAAGTTTTATAACCTAGGTATATGAGTGTCTCACAGTTGTGCTCCTGTCAACATGTGGTAGTGTCTTGCTGAATGGCATTCATTAACGTTGTGTGTTTTGTGTGCCACTGCAAAAATGTTGGAGCTTGAATCAGAATGACAAACATTTGTAAATTTCTTGTTGAACTTGACAAGAATGGAAGTGCAATCAGGGAGATGTTAGTCCAAGTTTATGGGGGAAGTGCCATGAATAAAACAGCATGTACAAATGGATTAAACATTTTTCTGAGGGGAGAGAAAGTATCAATGATGAGGAGCGGTCAAGGCAGTCAGTAACATGCAGCAGGGACAAAAGCATCACAAAAAATTGTTGAATTGTGCATCAAGATCGTTGGCTGACTATGAGAAGCATAGCAGACCAAGAAAACACTGATAGAGGAATAGGAAAATTGTAATTGAAAATTTTGGCCACCAACTTATGGCTCTTATCACAACAATGCATCACCAGCTCATTCGCCAATGACTTTTTCTTTACCTGAAGATAAAGAAAATATTGAAAGGAAGACATCTGATGACATTCAGAATATCATGGTAATATGATGACAGCTCTGATGGCCATTCCTGAAAAAGAGTTCCAAAATCGTTTTGAAGGGTAGACTAGGCGCTGGCATCAGTGCACACCTTCCCAAGGGGAGTACTTCAAAGGGGACCATTGTGATATTCACCAAGGAGGGATGCAGCATTTTTTTGCTAGGAGGAGCTCATGAACTTAATTGTCAGACCTCCTAGTCCCACATTATTGCTCGGAAGGTTTTGTTAGCACTCCTTATCTTGCCAATGTTAGATTTCTTTTTTAAAAATTTATACCCTTTAATATAATGAAATACTGTATCTCAAAGTTATTTTAATTTGTAATTTTGTGCTATGTGCAGGTGCAAATATTTTTCCTTACATTCCTTTATCACTCATATTTTCATATTCTTAATCTGACATATTCATTTCTCATCTATCACAGAATCTTGATATCTAAACTTATATATTATATAATATATAACTTACAGCTATTGTTACTTTGTAGGTACAAATTTTTTTTTGTGGAGATCCACAATTTCCTATTATCATTATTATTTTAGTCTCATGAAATGTTTCAATACTCAAGTATGCCTTCTTAAGTTCTACTAATGCTTCAAACATAAGATGTAAAGATATACTTCCTTTTCTTTTTACTAATAATACTTGTGGTTGTGTAAGATAAGAGTGAAAACATTTTATATCTGATTAGTTTGGCAGTTATATCACTGAATACCTATCTAATACCCTTATGAATACTGTTTAAAGTGGCCCTGTTCTTAGGAAAAAATATTTGATCATGTACCATATTTAGTTGTTGCAGGTACTATAGATGTGACTAATTTTAGATTCTCTGATACTCCAATAATCAATGATTTATAAAATGGAAAAAATTATTTGTCAGAATTCTGAAGGAAATACTTGTATAGTATATTAATCAAGAAAAATGTAAAT